CTTCGAAGCGCACGTCGTCCTCGAAGACCACCGACCTCTCCAGCCCCCGGGACACGATCTGTGGGGAGGGGGCAGGGGTACAAACCCACCCCAGCACCACGCTGAACCATCCTGGGTCCGCTCACCCTGCAGGACACCCCTCTAACTGGGTCCTCCAGGCACCTGGTGATACTCGTGGGGTTCCTGCCCCACGCCGGTGGCCCTGAGGGACCCCACAGCCCCCCAGGCCCCCCGTACCTCCTTCCAGATGTTGTAGTGGCTGAGGAAGCAGCCAACCTCACCCTTGGTGAGCGTGCGGCCAGAGAAGGGGTCATAGTACCCGGGGAGCAGGTCCACCCCCAGCACCTTGATGTCGCTGCTGTTGAGGGCGCTGCAAGGCAAGAGGCTGCACTGGTGAGGTGTCCCCCCCAGGCACCCCCACATCCCCAGGGTGACCCCAGGGAGCCAGCAGAGTGGGGACATGTTCTCCCCACCCTCCCCCCCGTGGTCACCTCCCATCCACAGCGTCCACCACCTGGGGGGTGATCTCCAGCTCCTGCAGGGATGCCAGCATCCGCTGGCGCCGGTCCGGCCTCCGCACCAGGTTGATGAGGAAGATCTGGGGAGGGAGAGGGGAGCCCCACCAAGGAGGGGGTGTTGTCACAGGGTGGGGACACAGCCTGCCCAGCCACCTCGGGATGGGGGACAGGAGGCTCAGGCAAAGCCCTTGGCAGACTTTGCCGTGGATGGATGCAGCCAGAGGGATGGACAGGGGGACACAGGGGGGACCAGTGGGAACTTACTTCATCAAAGCCCATTTTTGTGAGTGGCCTGGGGAGGAGGGAAATGTGCCTGGAGCGCTGCATGGGGGGACCATCCACTGCAGAGAGAGGAGACACCCCTTTGGTAGAACCCAAACCCCACTGGGCAGGAACCAGGGCCAACAGCCCTGCCTAGGTGACCAGCATTGGGTCCCTGTCACCCATGGGGGAGGGGACACTTCCAGGACCCCACTTCCCACGGGTGCTCACCCATGGCCTCCAGCGTGAGATGCACGAAGTTGGCATGTTCATCCTCCAGTGTCTGGTGGGCTTTCACGGGGACATTGATGTAGCCAAAGCGCTGCTGGTTGCACACCTGGACCTCCACACCTGCCCGATGGGGTGGGTGAGCACCATGGCCCCCTCAGACCTCCTGCCACCCTCCCTGGCCCCCCAAAACCCTCACCAGCTGCCAGGCAGGAGTAGGCGAAGACAATGATATCATCAAAGGCCCAGGTGTAGTTGGGATGGGGTGGGTAGAAAGCCAGCTGTGAGGTCTCCTCCTTCCTCAGGTCGATGAGGAAGGTGGCGTAGACCATGGGGACGGGGAAGCAGCCCACCTGCTGCCGGTTCTTGGTGGGGAAGTAGTCGGCTGTCCGGCGGTAGTAGCCCTGTGGGACACAGTGATGCCTCCGTGGTGGGGGGCTCTTCTGCCACGGGGAGGGGTGTCTCCTTCCCCAGGGCTTTCTGGGGACGTACCTGGGGCGTGATGCCACACCAGAAGTTGGAGTAGAAGGTCTGCGAGTCCAGCATGGGGGCCACCACCGACTTGTTCTGCGCCATCAGAAACTTGAGGGTCTGGTTGTTGGTCAGGATGCTGTCGGTGTCCACGAACTGGGGGGGAGAGGGGGGTGACACAGGTCCTGGAGGGGTGGGGACGCCCACCTCAGGCCCCCAACCTCACCAGTGCCCATGTCCCTTACCAAGATGTAGTCTGCCTGCTGCTCCCGGGCGTAGGTGAGAGCCTCCTGCTTCAACTTCATCAGGTTTTCGTAGCGTTTGTCGCTCCAGTGCTTGGGCCCCAGCTCATCAGGGTAGGAGCTGCGTGGGGGGACACAGGGGCTGACCCCCCTGGCTGGGAACGCACAAACTCGGCGCACGAGTCAGCCCAGCCCTGGCTGCCCACCAGCTCCTCCTGGCAGTGTCCCCAGCTGGGGAGCAGGGTGCTGCTTGGGGAGCCCCTCATAGCCCACCCCAACCCCCCCGGTGTCCCCAGCCTCACCTGGGCTCCTCCTGCACCTTCCAGGCCACCGAGTGATAGTCCTTCCCCACCGCCCCCAGCCACTCCTGCAGCATCGCCGTCGTGTTGTCCAGGTTGTGGTCCGTGGCACACCTGGGGTGAGGGGACATCAGCCTCTGGGGACCCCCAGAAGGGACAACCACGGCCCCCTCCCCACACTAGGAACATTCCCGAGGCCGAGAGGCTGAGCCAGCCATGGACTCACTTGGAACCATCATGTGTAATTTGCAGGAGCCAGGGCTGCGCTGGCAGGAGGAGGAACCGAGCGGGTCATTCCTCTCCCAGTGCCACCACAGCTGTCCCACAGCTCTCACCCCCACACCAGTCCCAGCTGTGCTCTCCCCATCCCAGCCCCGTGGCTGCCCACCATGAACAGCAGCAGGGCACAGCAGCTTTGCACCCTTGCCCATGCACCCCGTTGCACCCTGCAGCTCCAGCAGCCAAAATCCCCCCCCCCAAACCTGCCCCTGCCAGGCACAGCCCCAACTCCCCCACCCAACCTCTGCAATGCTGTTCACAGGGACCCCAGCACAGAAGAGGCTGAGCCCCACGTTGCAGCAGGACAACCCCACACTCCTCAGCACCCTCGACCTGTCAAAGAGCCCTGACCTGCCCCCCTGGGCACTGGTGTCACGGGGACCCCCGGGGACAAGGCAGAACCCCCCCAGCTCCACAGGCAGCTGCTCTGGAAAAAACCCACAAAGCCCTGCAGCCGGGGGCTCCTGGAGGCTGCAGGGGGTGAATAG